TGTACCCTTAATACTACACAGTACTAAAAGAACAAATAATGACTGTCTGAACCATGTACCCTTAATACTACACAGTACTAAAAGAAAAAATAATGACTGTCTGAACAATGTACCCTTAATACTAAACAGTACTACAAGAACAAATAATGATTATATGAACAATGTACCCTTAATACTACACAGTACTAAAAGAACAAATAATGACTGTCTGAGCAATGTACTCTTAATACTAAACAGTACTACAAGAACAAATAATGATTATATGAACAATGTACCCTTAATACTACACAGTACTAAAAGAACAAATAATGACTGTCTGAACAATGTATTCTTAATACTACACAGTACTACAAGAGCAAATAATGACTGTCTGAACAATGTACCCTTAATACTACACAGTACTACAAGAGCAAATAATGACTGTCTGAACAATGTACCCTTAATACTACACAGTACTAAAAGAACAAATAATGACTGTCTGAACAACGTACCCTTAATACTACACAGTACTACAAGAACAAATAATGATTATCTGAACAATGTACCCTTAATACTACACAGTACTAAAAGAAGATTTTGTTTTGTTTATTAATTAATTATATTTTGTTTCACATATTTACCTCTGCCACCAAAGTTTTCCCCTGTGTGTGTGTGTGTGTTTTTCGGCAAGATTTCTTAAAAATGGATGAATGGATGAGGAGGAAACTTGTTATACATTTGGACTATGACTAAAATTAGAAGTGATTAGTTTTTGGAGTGTCAAAGTCAAAGGTAAAGAAAAACCAAAAAATTCCTATCTGTTTACATGGGGAATGATTTTTTTCATATTATTTTTGCTCTATTACTCAGTCAGAAATGATCAGATTTTGATGAAACTTGGTTGACAAACATAGAATATTATTCCTCATTTTCCTGTTTGGGCTTCAGTAGTCATCATCATTATACAATGAGTATGTGTATGATAAAAGGAAATAGTTATATTAAAACACTGCTCTTTATTCTCAAATCATACACTTAAGGAATAAGAAGCCCTAATGAAGTTTTACTAAACATGGATGAGTGATATTTTTCTTCACGTGCATAGCTGGCTAGTTAGAAGGTAAGATAAGATGTCTGCAACAGTATCAGATTGATAGGGAAAAAAAAGAGTTAATATGTGTGGTCCTTGAAGTTATTATCAACAAGGGATATGAATATTATATCAAGTTGTATATTAATGTAGTTTATCTGGCAAAGTGGGAATCAAATCAAAATGAGAAAATCATGTTTCCATAATCCTTAATGAAGCATTACATTTAATATAAATGTTAATGTGATAAGATGGGAGCCACAGATGAAGTTGAAGAAAAGTATTATGTTTGATAAACATAAAAACAATTTTCATACACGTCTTACCAAAGTCAAAAACAAAATAATCTATGTATTCAATGGGAAAGAATTGGAACAGTATTTAACCTTACATGTCTGCACTGTTCACTTCCATACAAGAGCAAAAACCATGCTGGCAACTAGGTACTTACAGGTGAACAGTAATATGGACACTGTGGAACAAATCAAACAGGCAAATAATCTAATTTCTTAATAGGTAAAAACAATGATAAAAAGCAAAACTTACTTTCAATAACAGCCAACTTTTTATCAGCAGATTTGAGCACTAAAGCATCAAAATTTTCAGAACCTGGAACCTCTTGGACACTTGTTAACTCTGTAGGAAAGTCCTTAGCAGCTTGGCTTTGTTTTAAACCTGGACAATCCAACTCATTCTTTAAAGCTCTTGCATTAAAAGGCACTGATTTTGTAGCTTCAGGCACACGTCTTGATTTTGAATGCTTTGATTCATTACTTTTCTCTTTAGCACTGGAACTAGAAGGCACTGATTCTGTAGCTTTAGGCACACTCCTAGATTCTGAATATTCTGATTTACTAATCCTATCTTTAGCACTGGAACCAGAAGGCACTGATTTTGTAGCTTTAGGCACACTCTTAGATTCTGAATATTCTGATTTACTAATCCTATCTTTAGCACTGGAACCAGAAGGCACTGATTCTGTAGCTTTAGGCACACTCCTAGATTCTGAATATTCTGATTTACTAATCCTATCTTTAGCACTGGAACCAGAAGGCACTGATTCTGTAGCTTTAGGCACACTCCTAGATTCTGAATATTCTGATTTACTAATCCTATCTTTAGCACTGGAACCAGAAGGCACTGATTCTGTAGCTTTAGGCACACTCCTAGATTCTGAATATTCTGATTTACTAATCCTATCTTTAGCACTGGAACCAGAAGGCACTGACTCTGTAACTTCTGATATGTGTCTTGATTCTGAATGATTTGATTTTTACTTTCTCTTTAGCACTGGAACTAGAAGGCACAGATTCTGTACCTTCAGGCACACTTCTTGATTCTAAATGTTCTGATTCACTAATTCTCTTCTTTGCTCTAGAGCCTGAATGCACTAATCCTGTAACTTCATGTACAATTCCTGATTCTGACTCACTAATTCTATCTTTAGCACTGGAACTAGAAGGCACTGATTCTGTACCTTCAGGCACACTTCTTGATTTTGAATGTTCTGATTCACTAATTTGTTCTTCAGGTCTGGAGTCTAAAAGCACTGATGATATAGTCTGAGATACACTTTTTGATCCAGAAAGCAATAATATATCAAAATTTACTTCACATGAAGGCACTGATTCTTTTACCTCTTCCTCAGATTCTGATGAAACAAATTGATCTTTAGAGATTGAAGGACCTTTATCTTTTACCCCATGTTTATTACTAGAACTTGTTACAACTGAATCAGTGTTTTTACTTTTAGAAACATAGAGATCTGAAACTACAGATACTTCTTTACACATGGAAAATTCTTGTTCACCCCTGGAATTCAAAGATGGCATGTTCTTATACTTGTGTTCATCTTCAAAGCCTAAGACTAATGCTTTTTTTACCTCATGGTCATATGTATAACCAGAAGTTGATGACCCTGAACAATCTTGTTTATCCTTGAAATAGGACTGCACTGTCCCAGTATTATCTTGCTGACTTTTAGATGAACCTGAAGATGTGAAGTCAGTAGATTTTTGTTCGTCCCTAGAGTATGGCAGCAAGGTTGAAATTTCTTGTTCACTTTTAGATATTCCCAACTCTGTGGCATCATCAACTGCAGTGACTTCTGCACATAATTTCACTGGGCTGACCTTAAACAGAATCAAAACAAAACAAAAACATAAGTATCTATAAATATGTATACAGACAGTGTTCCTTTTCCTCAGACTTTTCCCTATCATACATTTTAACCATACCTACAGTTCAACCTAAAAATGTCACACACACACAGTAATCTAATCATTTAGCACTCATGATTTAAGTTTGGTCTCCTATCTGTTCATAAATCAGAAATACTTAAATTAAATAGTTGTATACATATATATAAGAAGATAAATATCCTAATTTTAAACATCTTTTTTTTCCTTACCACATACTTATAAAGTTTGTTTAAGTAATTCATACAAATTTACAGAAATGCTATCTGTTAGTGATTTTCAACTGATAGATTAGAGGAAAGACAGCTACTTAACAGCACCCACCATGAATTTTTGGGCTACTCTAATTGAATTGTGGGGTTTGATTGTCTATCTTATAATGCATCCAAAGTGCGCAGCACACTTTTTTTCAGGCAGTGGAATGCAAACTGTGGAACCTCAGATTTACAGTCCAGCCCACATAAACAGGAAGATACCTGAACTATTTGTGTGTGTGCATCAGTTGGGAAGCTTCCAAAGCAAGTTGAAGTCACAGCACATTCTTGATATTTTATATTATAATCAAACACAATCTTATAGTGTTGTACATAAAACTACCAGGTTTTCTTATCAAAACTGAACATCATATATGCCTTTTATAAGTTTTAA